AAAAAAAAAAAAAAAAAAAGAAAAGAGAATCATCAATGGAAATCCCCCCTGTCACCTGTGATAAACCTGCTCTCTAAGGTACCCAGTGGGGGCAAAACTGTTTTTTTATGCCTCTTATCATCAGAAGTGTCTACAAGGTACTCTAAAACTGGTAGAGTAAAAACAGTCACTTGAGCTTGATTAGTTTTGAAGAGCCGATCCCAAGGGCTAGTTAGGCTCTCTAAATTTCCAGACTTTTTTAACCCTGTTAACGAGTGAAAGAAAAATGGATGCTAGCTTAGGCCTGCTTTATACATTAAAAATACAAAACATACATTTTTTTTAAAATTGAGATTTGGGGCTATGCTACTTTTTGAAAAGTTAAAAAGCAAGTATACTGAAACTGCCAGTCTCATCAGCTTGGACAGAATCACTGGGTTAAGTAGAATTGAAAGGAGCTTTGGGAGAATGAAAGCGTGTCATCTCACAAACCCCAAAGGAGGGGGCCCTAGACACAGTTAGATGTGAATCCTCCTTTCTAGGTCTTCAAATTTCCAATGCTTTAGGGAAGAAAGACCTCTTCTTGCAAACCTGAATCATTATAAGGGACAATAACCCAGAAAGGATAAAATGCTTTTGGAAATTAAATTTTGACAATATAATTACAAATGATTTTTAATGAAGAAAAGAGGGAGATATCTCTAAAAATTAATATGGCTGGACTATCTGATTAATTCATATTTTAAGAGAACACCTACAAGAGATATAAGGGGAGGCATAGTACAAGGGGCAAATAGAGAAGAGTGGCTGGTATGAACGTGTAAAGGCAGAGAAGCAGTGAGGCTTGGAAAAGCCTCAGAAGACAGGAGCTTCCTCACATGTGTCAGAGAATAACGAGGAATGGATGAACCCTCTCTTTGAAGTGAATGTGAAATAGATACCACAGAAAAAACAGAATGACTCTGGCATTTTTATTTTTATTCTGTTTGCTTTATTTGGCAATCTCCAAACTTGAAAGAAGTTGAACGAAATTCCTCAAGTGGGAATCGAAACTCTGTGAGACAGTAATCATATATGCAACATGAACGTGTTAATTTTTATTCTTTTCGGGTTTTTGCATTCAGAATCATTCTTATCTTAGAAAATGAATTGACAAGTTTTCTATCTTTTTTTATGCTCTGAAACCATTGAATTGACATAAAAGTTAACTGTTAAACACTTGACAGAATTCATTTTTTTTTTTGAGACTGAGTGTCGCTCTGTCACGCAGGCTAGAGTGCAATGGCATGATCTCGGCTCACTGCAACCTCTGCCTCCTGGGTTCAAGCGATTCTCCTGCCTCAGCTTCCTGAGCAGCTGGGTTTACAGGCATGCACCACCATACCCAGCTAATTTTTTGTATTTTTAATAGAGGTGGGATTTTACTATGTTGGACAGGCTGGTCTGGAACTCCTGACCTCAAGCAGTCCACCCGCCTTGGCCTCCCAAAGTGCTGGAATTATAGGGATGAGCCACTGCACCCAGCCCATCAGAATTATTTTTTTTAATTATTTATTTATTTATTTATTTTTGCTGAGAAGACTTAGACCCAAGTAAACTTGGTTATGAGCTCCCAAGAGAATTCATTTCTAGAGCTGCTTAAAATTAGGCCTCTTTGTATGGGTAGGTCTTGAACAACTTTCTTTACTATTTTTTCTATCATTCTTGGGCTTTTAAATTTTCTATGTATTTAGTGTCAATTTTTATAATATATGTTTTCCTAGAATTTTTTTATTTATAAAAATAAAAAGCATTTTTCTTTATTAAAATAAAAATATGTAGTATTTGTTTAGGGTTTTAAAAATTGTCCCCATCCATAGCAACAAATGGCTTTAAATGGC